ATTTAACCTTCTGATGCAAGCTCGAGGCACAGCTCCCGCAGTGTGTATCCAAGGTCGTCCCAACATAAAATTAAAGGCACTAGGGATATCCAGAATCTAGAAGTTGACTAGAAAGAGGACAAGGCCGATCAGGAGTTCGAGCTCAATCTCACCGATAACTTCTTTCTTCATGCCATCAAAAGCGCAAATAGTGGACCTTGCGGTCTGAATCTTCTCTTCATTAATCCCTAGGCGACAGAGTGTGGCTAGAGGGCAAATATTTAGTGCCAACCCATTATCGATTAATATCCTCGATAACATCTTATCGCGGCATTTTACGGAAACGAGCAGAGCCTTGGTATGGTTGCGGCCCTTAGCAGGGAAATCCTCATCAGCAAACGAGATCTGATCAAACTTTTCTAATTGACCCTCGTCGATACTTTCTGGCACATGCACTTCATTAAGGACTTTGAGCAGTGCGTTTTTATGTTTTTCAAAAGATTTGAAGAGATCCAAGAGCGAGATTTGGGCATGCATCTTCTTCAACTGATTCACTACATTAAACTCGCTCGTTTTAACAATTGCCAAGAATTGCTCCGCTTCTTCATTCGAGACGGCTTTCTTCTCAACTGCTTCGGGAGGTGCGTAACAATGGCCTAAATGCGTAACGGCATCAACCTCGTTCGTCTTATAATTCCAAGGGATTGCCTTGGGGTTGTAGCTCGGGGCTCTTACTTCTATTAAATCCTCTTCATCCTCAGGTGGAAGTTCAATCACTACCGGCTTCATAGCACGATCATCGATCTCTATAGTATTGAATTCTTCGAATGTAAGGTCAATGACTACATGTTCGACACCTGCCTCCTCATGTGTCCATAGATCATCCTCAACGGATAAGTCGATCACTACGGGGGTAATCATGCCAACCATCTCTTTTTCTGGCCTAGGTAAGTCATCCATACCCCCATTCGTCCGGAATAACATCTTTCGGGTCAATAAAAAAGGTCGGGGGAGGTGAGTACTTTCACCATATAGTCAAATTTCTTACTAGGCTGACCTAGCATTCTTTTCACTTCCCTGTCTTTGTGAGCTGACCTCACGAGTTCGCTAACTTTCATGATTCGAGGTTTAGCATTAATGCTTAGACGTTTTCCTTCATCGTCATTTATGGTCTGAAATATTGCTTCGCTTTCATTGGCTGCTTTTATAACTTTTAAAAACTCGGCGGCCATCTTCTCAACTTCCTCTTCAATTTCGCAAATAAAGTTCTCGGACGATAAATCAAATACTGCTGGCGACATCATCATGTCGTCTGACTCTTCCTCTTTAACATCTCGGATTACACTCATATCCACCATTCTAGAGATGGACTCCAACTTTTCTTCTATTGAGATCTCATCTCCTTCCTCGAAGTGCCCAGCTAGTACGAGTAACTCGTATAACTTAGGGACGTCTACTTTGAAAGTTTGCTTAATCACGCTCCTCTCTTCCCCAATCATGTTGACACCATCAGCATGGTTTGGCAACGGATTCTGTTGGACATTAGGTAGCGGCTCCTTGAACGACAAAATATCCTTATCTATTATGTTTTGAACCTTATGTTTAAATATTATGCAATTATCCACATCATGACCTTTCTCCCTCGTGTGAAACTCACAAAACTTAGATGGATCATATTCGGCGAACCTTTGACAATTATCGTGGGGGGGCTCCTTGGCTATCATCCTCCTTCCTAATAGCATAGGCAAAAGCTTTGATAAGGGTCTCGGCAAAGGGGTGAACTGCCTTGGCGGCCTTTTCTTGAACTCGTAATTCTGATACACCCCTCCTCGAAACACCAGCGGGTTTTGAGAAGATGTTGAGGGAGGTTTTGTCACCACTGGAGCTTGCATATACACCATTTCTACCTCCTTTTCTTTCCAACTTGTTTCTTCATTCAGCCTACCATCACGCATCGCTCTTTCCACTCTTTCTCCAATCTCTACTAACTGGGAGAAAACCAGGCATTAAGAACCAACCATTTTCAAATAAAAGTCATTGGGCAATGCTTTAAGGAAGACGTCCACCAACTCTTTCTCATCGAGAGGACAAACCTGAGCGGCCAAGGTGCGCCATCTTTGGGCAAACGCTCTGAAAGACTCACTCCTTTTTTTCTCAGTCCGAGTTAGCACTTTACGAGTTGGAGCTATTCGGTGTTGTATTTGTATTGGAGGATAAATGCTTCAGCCAACTCCTTCCATTTTTCCATCTTCTCTGTTTCTAGTAACACATACCACTGCAACGCCAGACCGGCCAGACTCTCTTGGAAAGTCTGAATCATCAAGGGAACATTCTGGGCGTACCTTCCCATTATGTTAAGATAGTATTTCAAATGAATTTTTGGATCTCCTGTTCCATCATACTTGCTAAAATCATGGATTTTGAACTTCTCAGGAAAGTTCATTTGCATGTATCGAGACAAATCCTCGATCACATGCTCTTCATACCCTTGCAATGCTCGTAGCTTCTCCTCTATCTTCGCGAGCCTCTTGTTATGCCCTCCTCCATATGGGCCGAAATGGCTTTCGAAACGGGATCGAGTTCTACCAATACGGGTGCAGCATTCAATGTCTCCCCAACACCATTCCTCCTTACAAACTCTTCTTCGGGATCGGGGGTAGCTTGTGGCGCGGCTTGATTAGCATTCGACGCCGCCAGCGCGACTCTAACTTCATTGGTGAACTACGTGAGCTGAGCAGTTAGCTCGTTGATCTTGTTGTCAAGTGCGGTGAAACGGGTGTTCTGCTCATCGATGTTCATCCTCACTACTCTTGAATGTATGCGAATAGGCGACCACCACGTAGCCGTAGTTTCGGGACTTGGTTTGGGGCTGACTTTGCTGCGGCTGGCAGCTTGACCTTCGACAGCGACCTGGGCGGATCACGAGGGAACAAGCGACTCCTCCTTGAGCTCTCTTTCTCGGCTATACCGTGGGGAGCTTGGACGACCCAAGATGAGAGGATCCTCACCTCCGGTGTCTCCGGACTCAACCGCATGGCGAAGAGGGGGAAGGGATTCACCCGGCCACCTCGTTATCGTTTGAGAGGCCGGAACACTCCCTTCCTAGACCCCTCAATCCACCATTCTTCTCTCTGTTTTCCTCTCCATCTCTCTCGGTTCTTCTTCCTCTGTTTTTTTTTTGCTTCCTGTTGCTCTTCGTTCTCGTTTGATAAAACCCCCCGGGCTTGTTTCTCCTTTAGGGGGGAATATTCTCTTCGTCCTTTTTGTCCTTTGAGCGACGCCTGCCTTGCTAGCAAGCCCGCCGATTCGTCCTTGCTGGCCGTTATCCCCGTTTGTCCTCTCTGTCTTTGTCTCTTCCACCTTTTGTCATCTCTGCGAATGTCTCTTCTCTTTGTGTCTGCGAACGTGAGGGAGAGGGAAAGAAGAGATGAGGGCTGGACCGAAATAAAAGAAGGGAAAGTGGGCTGCAAGTGGGCTTGGTGAAAAGGAAATAAAAAGAGAAATAGGCAAGGGAAAAGGCAAAGCCCGAAAAATAAGAGAAATGAGCAAAGGGCTGGGCCCAAACGAAAATAAAAAAAAAGGATCGGGGCTAGGGCTGATGGGCAGAGTTGCATTGGTCCGATATATATTTTTTAATCTTATCTCTATTTTGCACTAATTTGGCCAATTTATCATTTAAGCATTGATTTAACGAGGTGGGCAAAATTAGATGTCAACAGTGATGAGCAACGTTTCGAAGCAATGCCTATTTATATTGGGGAGGGTCAAGCAATCGAAGGTTCATTGATGCCTTGTGCGAAGCCAAAGGAAGGTCATCGGAAGGTCGAGGTTAGCTTAGCTGTACACGGTTGTTGCATGCAAAAGTTGCAATTTTTAATATAACGTACACTTAGCTGTCAAAGTTACACCTTTTGACTAAGACACAGATAGTGGTTGTGATGATCTCTCCATGCATTTGCACAACAACGTGTTATTGCTCTAACAATTTCAAGAAAACAATAATGATATCTTTCAGTGTCATTGTCAAAATAGGTACCAAAGGGTAGGTAATTATCAGCAGCTGGCGGCCATTAACAATAACAAGACAGATGAAATATTAAGGGGGAGGATCTCACCAAACTTGAATCTATAACTATTTTTGATCTATCTCGGGGTCAAATCGATTTGAATACCATGGGACTATTAGCATTTATCTATATATTTCTAATGGAGAGACAGTGATTGTGGCAGTTCCCATGAAAATTATTGAAATGCTTTGCTGTATCTCTCTAACTTTGCCTCAGTACAGTTAAGGAGGGTGGCAGCTTTTTTCTTTTTAAAAGGAAAATACATTCAAGGAGGTGATGTTCACACGCATATTATTAAAATAAAATAAATCACTACACAGTCAAATGAGAGGGCTAGCCTGTTCAGGATGATTCCCAGAAAATTTCTCATAACTTTTAGAATCAATATCACGAAACATCTCAAATCAGTGCACTTATAATAAATTTACCCTAAACTAATATTTTGACCACAAAAAACTCTCAAAATTGGTATACTTGTGATAAATTTACCCCAAATTAATTTTTTGACTACCGAAAACTCTAAACCGATATATTTGTGACAATTTCATATTCTTTGTTACTTTTGTGATTTTCAATATTTGTCATCCGCACATACCTCTTTGAGATATGACTTTTGTAAAAGAAAGTGAAAGTTTGGACTTGGTGAGGGTTATTGATGATCTTGGATCATCATAGAGCACCTCAAAACCTTTAGAAAGTGTATAACAATTTACATATTAGAATCATCCAAATCAAGCACGATTTTTTTTTCATCTTATAAAATGTGAAATAACTTGCTTTCCCGAGAGGAGCAAAATAGTATTTTTCATTGGACTTGGTGAAGGTTGATGTGGATCATGGATCATCATGGGCCGGTCCTGGACAAATCATGTTTTGGTCCCAATGGGCTCTCTCAATCTGATCCATCTCCTGTGTCCTTTGTTCCTTTTCTTCTTGCTTTGCGGTTGCTCGGCTCAATCAAAATTATGTTGACCAGGATTTGCAAGTTGAGAAGATGAGGCGAATTCCGCGCATCAAATTCCCGCAGAGGCACCCGAAATCCTCCGATGCAGCAGGTCCATTTTTTTCTCTTTTCCCGTTTCTATTTATTGGTGTTCTGTTTCTTTGTTGGAATTGTATGTGTTCCTGATTTAAAGATGAGATTTTTATCCACTTTTTCGGTTGAAACTTGGCATGTTGATGATTTTTCAAGTGATGGTTTGAGTGGATAAGCAAAAGGGGTCTTGTTTTTTTGGCTGATTAGTGCGGTCTTTTAGCTGGGAAATGAAGATGGAAATGGATTTCGTTTAGTTGGAAGATATACATATATGTATGTACCCGGTCTCTTGAATTTGCAACAGCATTATGCTGATGCTTCCTTGGTTGTGCATTTTGCATTTGGACTTAGCACTTAGGATTTGAGTGGTTATCAGGACTAGATTCTTGGTGAAGCTGTCCCACATGATTTTGTCAGTGACAGATGATTAGGTGCGGGTTGATTATGTCTCGAACAGATGTTTGAATTGTAACAAAGTCCTCGTGTTTTACTAGATGTGAAAGTGGCTTAAATGGGAAAATGGAAAGCAGAAGTTGCAACTAACTTTCTTCTATGCTAGCCTTTTTCCACGGGCAATAAGTATGCACCATCATTCAGTTGAATCAGGTGACGCGATTTTGAAGAGCAGGAATGAGGTTCTCGTATTGCTATTTGAGTTCTAACTCGTAATGTAGTGGAAGGTTGACAAAATTGAGCAAGGAATTGTGGACTGTAATATGCAATGTGGCTTCAAGTTGCGATAATGTTCGTGAGTCGGTAGAGTTAGAAAAGGACAAACTATTGTTGTTCAAAAGTACATATGAATGTTTGCTACATATGAATTTCAAGTCCCTGAAGCTATTTAACATTAGAGTTTGTGAATTTAGCTGAGAGTACACTCAGTTGTGGGAGGGATTGCAGGTTGTAGACAGCATGATTTTTGGATCCTAGTTTGAGGCATCATGCTCTTAAGTTTGGTTGACTTGAGGTTGATCAGCCATATAATGTGGTTAGTACTATGTTGGAGACAAGTATGTTTATTGAGTTGCAGAAGTTGGAGAACTTGTCTGATCATGATTGTAACGTAATGATTGGTCGTGGGACAATGTTCATGATGTAACGTGGTAGATTGGTTGTGGGACACTGTTCTATGTTTGGTGCTTCTGTGGAACGCAAGGACCAGTGAGAAATGTTGGCCAGATTGGTCTCTTCATGAGGATATCAGAGTTGAATTTAATGTAAAAACCAGAACTTTTCTGAGCTACGACACCCTAATCAATTCTCTCATAAGTGTCATGTTCAAGGCAGGAGCTAGTCTGTAAAAACCATTTCTTATGATTAATTTTGGTCTGTGTTGCATCCATTCACCGAAGATGTCCTCTGTCATGAACATTCTAAGTTTCATTTATTTAGAGAGATGAACATTATTTCTGAAGAATGATATGAAGGGCCTTTTTAATTAGTCAACTACTTTATTCCATCACATAGGATCTGCATCCCAGACCCAAGCTGCTCCGAGCACTGAAAACGTTTCAATCATATCTGCTTCGAGGTCAGATGTCCCAGCACCTCCAAGCAACATGGCGGTGGGAGGGCAAGCTTCACTCCAGCCAAAACGTAGTCCTGTCTCGGATAAGGAAATTGAAGCTATTCTGGTAAGCAAAAGTGCACAGGAATCATCTCATTTAAGTCTGAGAGTTCTTGTCGTGCTCAGAAAGCTTTGGTATTTTGTACCTCTTACAGTGGGCTTTCAAAGCAAACTGAAAATTTACTCTATTGCTTGACAATTTGAGTGAATACGCATTATGGAATCAATGAGTTTATGTATTGTCCAACTTGGACTTTTTCTCGTTAAATTCTTCTTCATTGCATCTAAATGTATCTCACTGAGCAAAGGTATGCGAGGTATAAAGGATCTGTATGGTTAATATAGTTTGATTGTTGCAATACAAGCTATCGATTTATAGATTAGAAACATACTGCGAGCATGAATCTCTTTCTGATATGCTTCTTTATTACCGTGTAAAGTTTAATAATGCCTTCAGCTCATATCTTGGAGCTGATCATGGTTGCAATGTATTTCACTTTATATCGCGTTAAGGACTTGTTGCTATGATCTTGTGCTTTGCAGTTAGGTGGATGCTTCTAGTTGTAGTCAGAGGTACTGGGATCAAGGAGGGAGACTGAATTACCTTTCAGACAAAGCGGTTTCTCCTTCTTGTTCTATGTTTAAATGCCTATCGATACGTTCACCGGATAAGGCAACTGATTGTAAATTTCCTTTGTATCTATATACTAATCAGCCAGGACTATGTTCTGAATAATCTTTTTTGGTAGATAAAGAGGCTGGATGTATCTTGAAAGAGACAAGATGTCGTGAAGATAATGCTTTGATGCTCCGTGTTTAAGATTTTCATTGCATGAGTGGCCTAAAGCTTTGGTTGTCTGTCTAAGTGCCTTGATATCTGTATGATTTGGAGAGAGAGACGACGTGACGAAGTTCAGCCACTTATTCTTTCTGATTTAACACCATCGTTGTTTGGTCGATCATCTTTTAACTCACTATATGCTGAATGGTGAGAATCTGTTTGGTATAATTTTTTCGCAACCATTTCTGCTGTAAAGAATGGTGTTGCACCTTTTAAAGGTGTTTGGCAATCACCTCAATGGTCAAGTCATTTAAATTCAAGATTGCGGTAACTGCATGCCCAACTCATGATACAGTTCATATCAGAGCCAAGTACGTAAACCATTACTTGATGGTTCAAATTGTTCACGAAAGAACATTGATGAATCTTGTGTATCTGGTAGAATGCCTTTGTCGTAATGTGACATTACGAGACTTTGAATCTATACTACAAGGTCATGTATAAACATGGGCACTGAGAGTCACAGCAATGCTATGGAATCCAAGGTGATTTTCTGTTTCATTGAGTAAAGATAGAAATGTTTCAAATGTCAAAGAATAAAAGAATATCAATTGCTTCTCGGCCACATATAGAGATTAACAAATGAATAGAATTGAAAAGAAAAAACGAAAAGAGAATTTTCTACAAATCCTATGTCTTGCGTCGTCTAGGACATGGTGCACTCAGGAGGGAGGCCTTGGCGAAATCTTTTGGCATCCGTGCAGTAGTTGTAAATCATGTAGTTGCTTTGCACCCACTTGAGCCGCTCTTGGCTTGTTGAGTCGAGCTCTTCTGATAGCCATGCATTCCCATCCGAAGAAGATGAAGTGCTTGAAGTGCAAGATGACGACCCAGATGACCAAACGCAGGCGTTATCCGCATTGAAGTTCCTGTAGGATGCAGTGAAGGGTGCTTGTGTCCAATCCGTCTTCACGAGCCCACCTCTGGTCGCCCAGTCGTCCGCGTTCCACAGGCTCGAGTATATCCTCATTGGCTGGGCCTTGGGGAAGGGAACACCGATCGACTCCACGTTCTTGAACTCTCTGATGGGAGTCCCGTCCACTGAGAATCTGCAATGGTTCCACACAAGGGTTTTAAGTAAATGCCGCAGAGAAAAGTGCAGTGCATCGTAAATGCAAGTAAGATCGCAGTTTGAATGTTTCGAGTCCTACATGATGCGTTGTGGATTCCAGAGGATGGAGTAGGTGTGGAAATCAGCAGTTGGGTCGAACCAGAGATAGAATTGCTGCTCTCGGTTGCCCTTGCCTTGGCTGAACACGTTGGTGTGAAGAATATAGGGATCGCCGCTCAAGTTCCCCAAGAACTCGAAGTCTATTTCGTCCCACGTCGACCCTTTGGAAGATAACTGTAGAATTACAACATAGCAAGGATTAAAATCTGATCGTGAAGAAAAGAACGAAGCTTGAAGATTAAAGGGGCACAGACTGAATAAGATGGAGACTTACATAGTATGCGGTGACAGTGCCTGCGGAGTTGCCGGGAACGAGCTTGAGCTGCATGTCGATCTTGCCGAACAAGTACTCGTTCTTGGACTGGAAGCCGGAGCCGGAGGCCTTGTCGAGGGAGAGAGTGAGGAGGTCGCCATTGTTGAGGATCTGAGCTCGGCCATCTCCCCAGGTTATGTCGAAGTCTTGATAGAAGTTGCGGGCGGAGGCAGATGTTGCCCAAGAAACGACCACGAGCAGCAGCGTGGTGATGCAAAGCGAAGAAGAAGAAGGAGAGGCCATAATGGGCGTGTTCTGGTTGCTGCTTTTGTAGTTGTAGTTGCTGAAGAGACGCAAATTCCAACGAGATGATATGAGAATGAGGATTGAAGAGGAGACACTGAGGGAGGGAGAGAGAGAGAGGTGGGTGTTTGCGTTGCTTGATGAAATGGGAGAGATGTGCAGATGGTATTTATAGCTTGGTGCCAAAGAAGCAGAAGGGGAAAACGTGTGAGAGGAGGAGAGGCAAAGAAGGATTGGTGGGAGTCAAACCTCGACACCAGCTCAACTGTGGACAGTTGGATTCCGATATAAAAAAATGTTTTCAAAAAGAAGAGGACAAAGAGCGTCATTACCAACCCACATCATGCACAGAAATTATGTGGGGACGCGGTCTAAGACGACGCGAAGCTTCCCCACACGCACAGAAGACGAGCTCTATCATCTGTTCACCGCCAGCTAAATTGCCTTACCATCAGCTCTCGCTGCTTTTCCGCCAGCTAATGTCGATTCTCATACACGTTCAAAAAAGAAAGAGTCGGTTCTCATAGTGGAGGTCGGGACCCCAGAGATCGACAAATCGCTTGAGAGCCCAAACCACCATCTCTCCTACCCCGTCGTTCCCCTTGCTTGGCCCTCTCCCTCTAAGGAGCGGTGTCGTATGTACATTCTTCTGTACCTCTTAATGTGGGGTTTCATGGCAAACTAAGAGTTAATTCTAATGCTCGACAATTCTAGTGAATATGCATAATGGAAATCAGTAAGTTAAATTGAACAACTTGGGACTTTTTCTTGTCAATTTAAACGGATATTGCTGAGTGCATATATCAGTAGTGTGTAAGGGTTTTGAGGATCAGTATGGTTAATGTACTATGCTGCTACTGTTGCAATATGAGCTGTAATAGGAAACATTTTGTGAGCATGAATCGTTTCTGACATGCTTCTTCAGTACAATGTGAAGTTTAATAATGTCTTCGGTTCTATCTCAGCGCAGATATGGTTGCGACCTTTCTCACACTACATATCATGTGAAGGACTTGTTGCTATGATCTTGTGCTTTGCAGGTAGGAGAATGCTTCACTAAAACTTAGAGTAGTTGGGATCGAGAGGGACACTGAATAAGTGTTTCGCCTAAAATGGTTTTCGATAAAATATCTTTCACCGAAGTTGGCTCTTCGGCTTTTTTTATATGAATTGAGTTCTGTGGCAGTTTGGAAAGGAAGAATTCGGTTCTAACTAAGCAAAAACTAAGGATAAAGTAAACAACGAATACCGTTAAAAGAGTGAAGGTAAATGTGAGTATAAAGATAACTTGCGAAACTGAAGATATGTTGTTTTATTGGTTGATTGCGGATCCTTTACAAGAATTCTTCGTCCGCTATTTATAGCCAGACTAAGCAAATAACCGTCATGACGGTTATTCTTTCGAATTCAGACTATTCCCGGAACACTTGTGATCTTTTCTTTGGCAAGTCTTCACGGATCCTTCGGTAATTTGTCTATTGTTAGCTTATCCTATTTCCTGAAATAAGGCTCGTGCCGAATTGTTGGTAACTACAACCGTCCTTATTTATGGCCTCTTTTGAGTCATGGACCGACTCTTGATAGCACTTCTGGATTTTACTAGTTTGCCGTGGTCCATGAGAGTTATTTTTGGATATCAACAATAAGGCATCTCATTGTAAATTTCTTTTGTATTTATATTGTCACACCTTGAAAATAACTAGAAAGGGGAATGACACGACCATCCTTCCACATGAATCAGTGAGTAGTACATATCTTATAAACATATCAAGCTTCCACAATACACAAGGACATAATTCATTTATACCAATAAGAATATAACAACTTACAAGAGTAAAATGAGTTATATACCACTTCAATATAACTATATTCATAACATGAATACCCATTCATCCATAATATCAAAACCAGTATTGCTGGTCCAGTTTAATAATCAAACTCGTCAAATTACGTGTCAATAGTCCGTTCCATACTCAATATTCAACTCAAGGCTCTAGAGGTGGCTCTCACGAATTTACATTATCGTGTATCACTTAGTCCTTGACCAACATATATTAATAGTACAAGGCTCAAGAGGTGGCTCCTACGAATTTACGTTATCGTGTAATACTTAGTCCTTTACTACACATATTAATAGTACAGTGCCCTATAGGTGGCTCCCACATGACCCGAGTCACCGTGTAGCATTTAGTCCTTGACAACAAGGCTCTAGAAGTGGCTCCCATGAATTTACGTTATGGTGTAGCACTTAGGCTTTTTATCAATATATATCACAAATGATTTCACAAATCAAAACATATAATCCCTCAAGAGTTATCTCATAAATCTAATGCACAAAATAGTACGCATAACTTTTCAGTAAAGGTTTATCAAACAATCCCGCCATAATCCAAAAGTAGTAAACATTCGATCCAGCTTTATGCAGCAAATGTGTCCTTCTTACTATATATATATAGATACTTCAGTACATGGGTTTGACAAAACCAAAGAAGATATCAGCACCACTCACCTGGGAATATCGGAAACCAATAACACATAGCTAAATGAGCCGACGATATCGTAATCAGAACAATTAAACGAGAATCGACGTCAAAACCAAATTAAATACTACGACAATTACAAAACGGATATAGCAAGCTTAAACGCTAGCAAAACAACACTTACACGTTAATAAATCGCACACCCAAATCGATTATACAAGCGGTTCGCAATGTGAGTTAGCGTGCGAAACACTAAAATTCTCACTCCGGCCAAATCATTGCTTCAAAACAACTCCCGTCGAACCCCACGGCTCTATAACACCATAAACCACCATTTCTACGAAATTTTATAGCTCAATGACTGAAAAATCAAACTTCACGGCTCGAATCTCTCATAATTCCGAATTTAACCAATAACTCCAAAAATTTCTTTGATTGGATGAGCAAGGGATACGAATACTTATTGGGCGTTGCGACACGAAATCGAACCGGCTTGATAAGGTCCCGCAGCGAGCCCATGTGAAACCCTCCTTTTCTTTCTTCTTTCCCCTTTTTCCTCTTCCCTTTTCTGTTTCTGTTCTTGGCTAAGGAGCTTCACAGTCTCCTTTTAAAATTAGCCGACTGTCAACTGGAGCTTTTGTTTGACTTTTCAATGCTTTTTTTTAGTGGGTCCCACCACTAAGTCACAAATATTACATATATGCACAATTAACTCCGAATATGTTTTACCCACCCATCGGTGGCCGCGTTGGTTTGCGTTCAGTTCCTTTCACGAGAGGTCCTGGCTTCAAAATTCGCCCATCGGTGATTTAAGTGAGGGGTCGTGGCGGTGGGATGCTGCGCTAGCCCCCCTCGAGGACTAGTCGGGCATCACCGCTGATTTGAGCCCTAACTCGCCGGCCGCGCGGACACCTCGATTATCAAAAAAAAAAAAAAAACTCTGAATATGTTTTGAATAAAGAGTTCGGGAGGAAACTTGAAAGAGACAAGATGCCACTTTGATTATCTTTCGATCTCACTAGATGCAAATTTCTAAAATGCTATTTTTGCTATAGTTTTTCCGTAGTAGTTTTACCAATGAATATAGGTATTTGGCAATCACCTTATAGTAGAAAAAGTACCAAAAAAGCCCTAAATTTATTTCATTGATACCAATTTAGTCTTAAATCTTTTAATTGAACCAATTTAATCCTAAACATTTTCACATTGGTGCCAATTCAGTCCATCCAATCAATTTAGGCTGGAAATTATGCCGGCCATCCTATGTGGCACGAGCGGCGCTGACGTGGAATTTTTAACTAATTTTTTTGAAAATTTTTCATATTTTTCCTCTTTTTTTTCCTTCCTTCTCCTTTGCTTGTGGCCAGTACTCGGCCATGGCCAGCGACCAGCCATGGGCAAGGCCCGCCCTCCCCCAGGCCGCGAGCCATGAGGGTGGACCTTAAAAAAAAGAAAGTAAAAAAAAAGGAAAAAAACCATTAAAAATTCAAAAAAATTATTAAAAAATTCAATGTCAATGCCAACCGTCTGCCTGCGGTGCCACATAAGGTTCTTGCTGTCCACGTTAGTGATTTCCAATCTAAATTGGCACGATGGACTGAATTGGTACCAATATGAAAATGTTTAGAACTAAATTGGTTCAATTGAAATGTGTAAGACTAAATTGATACCAATGCAATATATTTATGACTTTTTTGGTACTTTTCCCCCTTATAGTACCCTTGAGGCTACTGTAATTTCCCGAAATCGCTTCACCCAATTTGAAGATGTTATAGTTTTACAACATATATTATCGAACATATAACTTAATAATATTTTACAGCACAATATTACTACATGTTAATCCAACTTTACCAAATATTCTGAACCTAGTGTCTACATTCATTTGGTAAGGATTGAGACTATAACTTTTTAACCTCGAGCATTGTATCAATCTCAACTGCAGTTGTATCATGTGACTTGTGTATCTTAACACAAATTACTCGAATATAGGAATGACAAAAGAGCAGACCTATCGGAAAAGTGAATCAAATGGGTAATTCAAATTGTTAAGGAAAGAACGTGGATGAATCTAATGTTGTACCGGTACAATTGTTGTACCAGTGGTGGTGTTGCGCACGGCGCAAAATCCAAGGCGCAAAACATGTTTCATCCCCGAACTTACAAATTCGTTGTAGTTAGAGATATTGAGGTATTTTCATCTTGACTATGTTTATGTCAATTGATGGCAATTTTGTCACCTTACTAAATTAGCCGTGGAAGGAACCTTATAGACCGTGGATATAGCATTGCCGAAATATTTTTAATGTAGATGACTAGAATTTGGACCTAGACATTAGGGTCAAGCCAAAACATATGCACAGAGAATCACAGCAATGGTATGGAATCCAAGATGAATTTCTGTTTCATTGAGTGAAGATAGGGATGTTTCAAATGTCAAAGAATAAAAGAATATCAATTGCTTCTCGGCCACATATAGAGATTCACAAAGGAATAGAATCGGCTCAAACAAAAAGAAAAAAAGAAAAATAAAATTTTCTACAAATCCTATGTCTCGTGTCGTCTAGGACATGGTGCACTCGGGAGGGAGGCCTTGGGGGAATCTTTTGGCGTCCGTGCAGTAGTTGTAGATCATGTAGTTGCTCTGCACCCACTTGAGCCTCTCTTGGCTTGTCGAGTCGAGCTCTTCTGATAGCCATGCATTCCCATCCGAAGAAGATGAAGATGAAGTGCTTGAAGTGCAAGATGATGACCCAGATGACCAAACGCAGGCGTTATCGGCGTTGAAGTTCCTATAGGATGCAGTGAAGGGTGCTTGTGTCCAGTCCGTCTTCACGAGCCCACCTCTGGTCGCCCAATCGTCGGCGTTCCAGAGGCTTGAGTATATCCTCATAGGCTGGGCCTTGGGGAAGGGAACACCGATGGACTCTGCATTCTTGAACTCTCTGATCGGAGTTCCGTCCACTGAGAATCTGCAATGGACGTACACAAGGATTTTTTTGAGTAAATGCCGCAGAGAAAAGTGCAGTGCCATGTAAATGCAAGTAAGATCGCAGTTTGAGATTTTCGACTCTTACATGATGCGTTGTGGATTCCAGAGGATGGAGTAGGTGTGGAAATCAGCAGTTGGGTCGAACCAGAGATAGAATTGCTGCTCTCGGTTGCCCTTGCCTTGGCTGAACACGTTGGTGTGAAGAATGTAAGGATCGCCGCTCAAGTTCCCCAAGAACTCGAAGTCTATCTCGTCCCACGTCGACCCTTTGGAAGATAACTGTAGAATTACAACATAGCAAAGATTAGAAATGTGATCTTGAAAAAAAAGAACGAATCTTGAAGATCAAGGGGCAGAAACTGATTAAGAAGGAGACTTACATAGTACGCGGTGACAGTGCCTGCGGAGTTGCCGGGAACGAGCTTGAGCTGCATGTCGATCTTGCCGAACAAGTACTCGTTCTTGGACTGGAAGCCAGAGCCGGATGCCTTGTCGAGGGAAAGAGTGAGGAGGTCGCCATTGTTGAGGATCTGAGCTCGGCCATCTCCCCAGGTTATGTCGAAGTCTTGATAGAAGTTGCGGGCGGAGGCAGATGTTGCCCAAGAAACGACCACGAGCAGCAGCGTGGTGATGCAAAGCGAAGAAGCAGAAGGAGAGGCCATATCGGGCGTGTTCTGGTTGCTGCTTTTGTAGTTGTAGCTGCTGAAGAGACGCAAATTCCAACGAGATGATATGAGAATGAGGACTGAAGAGGAGACGCTGAGGGAGAGAGAGAGATGTGGGTGTTTGCGTTGCTTGATGAATTGGGAGAGATATGCAGACGGTATTTATAGCTTCGTGCCAAAGACGGAGAAGGGGAAGACGTGTGAGGGAAGAGGAGAGGCAAAGAAGGATTTGGTGGGAGTCAAACCTCGACACCAACTCAGCAGCGGACAGTTGGCTTCCGATATAAAAAATGTTTTCAAAAAGAAGAGGACAAACAGTGACATTACCGACCCACATCATGACCAGAAATTATGAGGGGACGCGGTTTTGGATTTTGAGACGACACGAAGCTTCCGCACACACCCACCTACACAGAGACGAGCTCCATCATCTCTTCACCGCCAGCTAAATGCTTTACCATGACCTCTCGCTGCTTTTCCGCCAGCTAATGTCGGTTCTCATACACGTTCAAAAAGAAAATGTCGGTCCTCATAGTGGAGGTAATGTCGGGACCTCAAAGATCGACAAATCCCTTGAGAGCCCAGACCTCCATCTCTCTTAACCGTACTTCTTAGAAGTGAGAGGTTGTAGGTCACATTCAGGTTTCACCTGGAACCTAAAGGTGAAATATACCCGTTGAAACATGTCCTTCATTTTTCAGAACCTGTAACCTATCATGCATGACCTAGAACCTAGAACCACTCTGTCACAGGTTTCAAAGTCGGTTCTAAGGTCTATCCAGTTTCACTTGTATTATTAATTGAACGATTGTAGTGAATTATCACTTTTAATGACTACCGCTTCCTATTACAATGCACTGATCACAATTTAGATTTAGACACACGAAGAATATGATATATTAATAAAGTAAAAGTCTCAAATATAAAATGGAAGCTTAGACTTAGTGGTTATACGCTTATCATCAGAAGCCATGGAATACTGCGGAATTGCGCAAAGACGCATGCCAAGAAAAACACAAAAACTTATTTCAGGTTCTACTTACCTAGAACCTGAAACTTACTTGTCGAAACAGGTTCCCCAATTTTTGGAATTTGTAACCTACTCTATATACCCTGAAACCGGACAGGTTCCCACAAGTCCAGTTCCAGATTCTACCCTGGAACTATGCTCACCCCTAATTGTTCCCCTTGCCTGACCCTTTCCCTCTTAGGAGCGTTGTCGTACGTACATTCGTCCTACATACTATTGCATACATAGAGATCAAGGCAATGGATCGTCCAAAATCAAATACAATTCAATTTTTATCATTTAAAGAAAAATTATAGAAAACGATAAATCTTTGGTCACATTTATGATCATCTTCAAGTATCTTAGGCATAGATATTATAGGATGAGCACCATCTAAAAAAATTCATGCAAAACGAAAACCAAAAGCGGAAAGCAAAAGTTGGAAGAAGAAAACATCACCACCTGACTTTCGGACAAAATTTGTAGTGGCTCTGATCGATCAAATTTTTTAGAGGCTAGCTCTTGCCTTAAACAAGATATGCATCCCAGAACCAAGCTGCTCTGAGCATCGAAATGTTTCAAAGACGTCTGCTTCGAGGTCCAATGTCCAGTTCCTCCAAAAATCATGGCGGTGGGAGGCCAAGCTTCACTCCGGCCAAAACGTAGTCCTGTCTCGGATAAGGAAATTGAACTTATTCTGGTATGCAAAAGAGCACAATAAAAATTTCATTTAAGTACGAGCGTTCTAATTGTGCTCAGAAAGCTTTGGTACTTCTGTACCTCTTAAAGTGGGGTTTCGTGGCAAACTCAGAGGTAATTCTATTGCTTGACAATTTGAGTGGATATGCATAATGGAAGTCAATCAGTTAAGTTGTACAACTTGGACTTTTTCTTGTCAATTTAAATGGATCTTGCTGAGCACATATATCAGTGGCGTGTAAGGGTTTTAAGGATCCATATGGTTAATGAGCTATCTGATGTAGCTAGCAAGGATCGCCTAGATGGGGTGAATAGGTGATCTTAAACAAATTTTGAAAAATTTATGCGGAAATGAAAGAACATAGTTGAGTCTGAATAAAATTCAGATTCAAGCAGATTATATTAGACAGTACTCTTGATGTGCAGAATGTAAATAAAGAGATAAGGGATAGAAAATCTGCACACAAGTTTATAGTGGTTCGGCTTATAGCAAGCCTACGTCCACTCTCCCACGCTTACAGCCTACCGGCTGGATTTCACTATGAATTCAAGAGGAATTTACAGATTCTGAGTGATAGCACTCTTGTGTATAATAGGACTCTCTATCTCACACAGTCACTCTTACAAAGTAATCCTCAAGATCTTAATTTTTGGCTCAGAAAGACAAGAGAAAATGATTGGAGTATGCTCAAACTTTGGACTGTTGATTCTTGAATCTATACATCCTTCTGCTACTCGTTGATCTCCTTAAATACTCCTCTACTTCCAAACTAACCGTTGGACAGCATTCAGAGGATCATCTTCCAATCTTCACCTTGGACAGATTTGTATAGAAAGGATTGAGTAGCCGTTGGATGACAGATTCTGAATCCCGCTGATTCTGGTCGCCCATACAATCAGAATCTTGGTTTCCATAAGTAGAGCTTTATCCGTTGTAATGCATACTTGTCGTAGTATTTGATTGTCAATCAATTATAGCCTTAGATTGAAACAATCAAAACTTTCCGTCTGTGAAATCCATACCAGATCACTAGCTGTTATGTTTCGTTCTGAATTCTGCGTCTGAAGAAATTCTGTGTCTGCATCTGAAGAACTTCTGCGTCTGCGTCTGAAGAACTTCTGCGTTTGCTTTTGAATAATTTCTTCGTCTGAATCTTCAGAACTAAGATTATGTGGGTCTTCAATAAGGTATTTACCAGCTTGTAAAGTCTGAAAAACTTCCTTCTGAGCTTCCAGAATATATATACATTCCTGGAATAGAATAGTTCAGAATATGTATCAGATTTACAATAACATGGAAGGTTTTGTCAACTTTAAAATTAATAGGAGTTTTCCTCAACAATCTCCCCCTTTTTGATGGTGACAAAACTTTCCTGCAGATTGAATTAATTTGAAATTGATTTGAAAGTAAATAAACATATTAAGCTCATGAAGCACATATTGAAAGAGCAAACTCTGTTGATATCTGTGTCTTTTTCTTCCTTTGTATATAACCTGCATGTGATCCTGCGTATTAGTATGGCAAATCTGCATATAATTTCTCCCTCTTTTTGTCATCAGCAAAAATAATAATGATAGAGAGAAGAAATCATTGATATTAAGCAATCAAACAGTCTAACAAGAATTGTTAGAAAAATTACAGACCAAATGAAAAAGAGATGATTTTGATAGAAATGTTAAAAAAAAAAACAGGCTATTTTTTGGAAGGGGTACGAATGAGTTGAAAATTATCCAATATAGAGACAGCCTCTTCAATCTTCGAACTGTATTGTCCTATAGCCTTATCTATGTTGGATGAGCACGTAGCAATGGTTCCCCAAGTTCTGCTTTATCTGCTGCTGCTTGAAGTCGTTGAGTCTTGTTGTTTTCCTCAACAATTCTCTATAGATTCTTCATATCTTGTTCTAGTACAGCTTGCTTATCTTTGATCTCGAGCAGAAGAGAGAGGATGTTCTAATTTTCAGAGGGATGTTCTTGGACATTTGCTTGTTCAGACTGATCGAACCCTGTTGCTTCTTCTGGTGGAATCTCCCCCTGAACAGGTGCATGGTCTGCAGAAACATGTTCTTCAGGAACTGGTTCTGAAGCCTTTGAAGTTGGTTCAGAAACATGTTCTGGATCATCAGTATGCTCCGCTTCATCACTTTCATCCTGCAGAAGAATTTTTCGTTTCTTGCTATACACCTTGAGTGGTGTGGGAGAGTCAGTTTGCTTGTTTCCTGTTCTTTTCCTTTGCCCTTTCTCTTTATCACTTGTCTTCCCAAAAGATGGAACCACTGACGGTTAAGCATTCTTTCCTCTTGTTGAGCTTACTCTTTCCTTTATATCATCAAACTGCTTCATTTTGGAAAGCATTCTTTTTCCAACAAACATACAAGGTATAATGGTTTTGCGCAACTCATCAGGAATAGTTATCCTTAAAAACATGAAGATTCTAGTGATAAATGCACCATATGGAAGTTGACCCTTGTCCTTTTGCAGAGTTCTATACATGTGGAAAATGATGACGTGTGGAAGAGAGAAAGATTGACCTTTCAAAATTGCCCAAATAAGCTTGATTTCATATTTGGATAAGTCAGTCTTGGATGCTGCTTTGGGCTTCAGACAGTTGATAATGATCTTGTGTAAAATCACAGATCTTCTGGACAAATCTGAATAGGAAAGATGTCTTTTAGAGTCCTGAGCAAAGTTTGCATTCTCTGAGGCCACCCTGGAAGCATCTTCTATGCTCACATCCAGTGGAGAGAAATTAGAATGTTTTGCTCCAATAATCAATGCCAACTTCTTCGCTTTTAAATCAAACTTTTTGTCACCAATAGTGAATTGAATCCAGTTGGGTGACAAAATGGAAAGATTAGAGTAAAAGTATGCAGTGAGTTTAGCATAGACATTTGCAGATTGCAAACAAAATTCATGAATGCTCAATTTTGCAAACAAGTGCTCTACTGAAATACCAGCCTGTTCAAGGTAATCAAAGTCTACGGTCCGATGGTTCATGACTCCTCGAGCAAGCAACATCTTATAGAAAATATTGTGCTCATTGCTTCTAAATAAGCCTCCAGTTCCTGGCATACCAGATGCAATCCCAATTTTCATTTCAAAAATATCAAAGAATTTACCATCATCGTCAGGAATAACAAACTTGGTTGCACTGGTGGTTTTAGGGCTGACTTGAGCGAATTTTTTTGTTAGAGGGTGTTGATGATTCTCCGACTTTTTCTTTGCCCTTTCTAGAAGAAGGCTCTTTTGGGGTAGAGCTGTCCGGAACATAGTTAGTTTTAAGACAAACCTTGGAGTAGTTTTCCGTAAGATGTTCTTCAGAGAGAAACCCATTGTCTTTTAGACAGTCACGCAGAATTGATGCAGAGGCATTGCTTCTCTTCAACCTCTGATAAACTTTCCATACAAGTTTGATGCTCTTAAAACGAAAATCTGTTTTACCCG